GTGTATATATATATATATATATCAGGTCGGCCTTTCAAGGTCGGCTGCCCGAGTCAGCGTCCGAGAACTCCAGGCGTACCCTGGCGGCATGGCTTCGGAGTTTGAGTTCATCGGTCGTAGCATTGCATCGGATTCGGGTGTGGAAGTCGCTTATTTTCTTGATCTCCTTGAGTATGCGCCAATCTTAAGTTTTGCCTTTGTGCGGTCAGGAGCAGTTCCTGGATGCCTGAAGATGTCCAGGAGTGAGTAACTCTGACACACAGGCTAGCAGCTAGCAGGAGCTGACGCGAACGCTTGAACATGTGACTCAAATGGCCAGCCCAGGTGCGCTTCGGCAGGCGAAATCCACATGAACTGAACTCCTTCGGTGAGCCTTGTGGGGGGGGGGGGGTGGTTGCGGAATGCGGACCGCAGTCTCGGCATCGTTCAATGCATCACGGCCCCGTGTTCACATGGTCATAGGCAAGGTTTGGGTGACCGACGTACAAATGGGTGGTTGTCAAAATTATGGTCCTTTTTGGGGTCCTTATTATAATACGGCACCTATTATTTAGGGTACCCCAAAAGGGACCATAATTTTGACAACTACCCAAATTCAGAACCCAGCGGTCGCCGAGCCTGCCTGCATTTAGTAACGGCGAGCCACCCGGGTATGTCTCAAGGATTTGGTTGGGCGACACGTTTCCTGTAGGTTTTAGGGTACAGTAGGGCATTACGACAGTAATGGGTCTACAGGGCGCATTGGCATTGGGTCTTTGGGGGCCCTAAACCCTAAATCCTAAACCCTAAACCCCTAAACTCGTATTCCGAAGTGAGACCTACTCTCCGGAGTGAAGGAATCTCAGAGGCTCCGAGTGTGCCTTGCAGCATTGAGCTGAGAGTTTCTGGCTGCCTCAGGCTTCTGCGTTTAAGGCTTCAGGCCTTCAGAGAGTTTAGGGCTTAGGGTTTTCGGGATTTGCAGTTTTTCGTTGGGGGATTCTGCCCGGTTTGGCATGTGCGAATGAATAATTGGGCCTTCTCCGATTATTTCTACTAGCACAGAAGGCTTCTGAAAAGGGTTCCACAGATGCACAACCCTCGCAAGCTGAGATGCATGCGATAGAGGATGGGCTTTAGGCTTTCGGGGTCCCCGAAGGTTTCAAAGTTTCGATACCTCGAATAGCCACATTGCTCTTAGCTCTTGTGCTCCGGTGGGGTTCATGAGCGGCCACCCGCAAAAAGACGGCAACTTGCACTTGAAGGGATTGAGACCCTGAGAAGATAGGCAACCCGTCTCATCATTTTTCCATCGTCGCTGCTGTTGCTTGTTATGCTTATTGTTGGTGATGGTGGTACTGGCTGTGCTGGTTATAGTGCCCGTGCCGGTCACGAGCTGCTATTCTGGCAAGGAGCTGCGTGCAGCCTGGGAAACAAATTCGTGGGTCCTCGACCCTGTCGGGCTTTTCGTGTGAGTCGAGGGGTACACGCCGAACGCAAGGCTCAACAGTGCAAGAGCAGTCGGCACTCGACGAAGGGCCCATATCCCGGAGCGTCTTCAGTGTGAAGCTACAGCTCGTTTGTCATGTTGGAAAGGCTTCAGCGCTCAGCCCTGCGAGTCCTGCGAGCCTGGGCTCTTCGGCTCCCAAGGAAGGCTTAGTCGGTTGCGGCCGCAGAGAAATTGGTACTCCCAAGCCGGTGCAAAAGGCCTCAGGGATAAGACCGACACTGCGCGGAGTACCAGTTTAGGAGCTTAGGGGTGCGCTCTGTGCCCCCGTGGTGAAGCGCGACAAAGACACAAGCAGCGAGAGGAGGGAAGAAGCAAATCTCGGACGGTGCAGCAAAAAGAAGACTTTGTTGCCCCACCCTCCTTGCGGTCAGGCACTTCACACTTCGCAATCTCTTCCCCTTTAGCCCTCCCGCCCGCTCCTTTGTAAGGCGGTTTTTGGCCCGGCATGTTTCATGTTAGACGAGCCTGCAGACCGCGCAGTTCTAACCGAGCCAGGGGTTTATGAAACAAAAGAATCAGAAACTTCAGAAACTTGGCAGCTGACCGGTCTTCAAATGCTCGCTACGAGCACTGCTGGGGGAAGAACGAGTGTAGCGTTAATGACGATACGAAAGTATCGGTTATGGAAACACTAGTAAGCATTAGTAGTAGAAAGAGTATGAGGGGACCGCGACCACAAAAACCATCAGTATGACTACTATTTACTATTTCTATTGCTATTGCTACGACGACGACCACCACGACGACGACGACTACTAATTACTACTACTACGACTTACTCCGACTGCTTCGACTACTACGACTACGGCGACGACGACTACTAATTACTACTACTACGACTTACTCCGACTGCTTCGACTACTACGACTACGGCGACGACGACTACTACTACCACTACTGCTACGACTACCACCACAACTACCACTACCAACTACTACTCCTCCGGCAGCTGCTGCTGCTACTAGTAGTACTACTGCTGCTACGACTACTGCCACTGCTACTGCTGCTGCTACAATACTACAGCTACAGCTACTGCTGCTACGACGACGACTACTACGACTGCTGCGACTAGTCGCTGTACTGTTGTCGGGGCTTCCTCGCCTTCTTCTTCTGGTGACAGAGCGCCCGTGAGGACACAAGGAATGTCGCACTCGAGGGGAGGCCCTCGACTTCTATGGCGATCCGAAGAACCAGAAGGCCTGTCCCGGAACGTTGTGACAGGTGTTTCTTCCACTTTGGACAACTCCAGGATGGTCAGCATATAGTGCCTACACGAGTTTAGGATTCGGGTTTAGCCAAGCGCCTCCTCAACCCAAAAGATCACAAGGACAAATTGAGGATTCACCCGTAGCTGCCCGGCGTACGCTAACGCAGGCCGCAACTTGGAAACAGTAAATAAACACAGGCGCAAAGAGGGCCAGAAGGGTTTGTGTGCCAGGATGGGCTCAGCAGCAAGCAGCTCAAGCTCATCGCTGGCGCTTTGGACCAGTCGGCCGGGTCGTTGCGGAAGCGTAAGATCCTGAATCAAACCTTGCAGTTTCCCTTCACCATAACCGCAACGCCCACTTACGATGAAGGACTATATGACTGCCATAAACTAAAGAGCACATCGTTCACATCGGAAGCAAGGGATCGCAAAAACGATTTGAGTTCGGGCAGAAGTAGTCGAGCACCCGCAATTCGTGCCGCAGCACTTCGTGGTGTGCATTGCTTCGTGCTGTTACTCCTCATCTCCCGAACCATTCGAAAACGTTCATCAGCATCGTGGTGAAACTGCTGGTTAGTACGTTCCCAAACCTTAAACGGGTGACAGGCACCTAACGTTTTCACCTTGCTGGCAGGCACTGCAGCTCCTCGGCTACGACTGCCCAGACGCAGTGCAACGTTGGGCGAAAAAAGGGGATCGGCCCTAAACCTGAATTGGAGCTCAGGGCTCCGGGCTCAGAATCGGATGGATGTTCGAAGTGCACGGCTCAAAGGATGCATAAAGTATGTTGGTTTGTTTGGTTGGGATATCAGTGGAAGTGAATGGCATGCGGCGGTGCACCGGTGCTTTCACATAAGGTCGTTGGGCTCACTCTGTCGCTTGGTCATGCGAAATTTCTCCGGGTTGATGCAACTTGCAAACTGCATAAATACTTGTTAAATTACGTACGTATGAACGCATGCATGAATCGTAAGTTCCGCGGTTAATGATGACCTGGGAGCCTGAAGACGAGCAATCAACTCTGACTGGGGGCCAAGTATGCCACGTGCCATGAAGACGTATGAAGACCACGTTGCCTCATCAAGGGACCAGGGATGCTGGGTGGGGATTTGCGGGTGTAGTATTTGGATGTAATTATATGGGACTTTGCCAGTGTGCTGTGCCAGCCGCGTTTTTCCCAAGCAATTTCGTCAGTTTGAGGCCATGGAGCAGACAATGGTGCGGTATTATGATTTGTAGCACTGGGTGGCTGGGTCGTGCAGCTTTTCTGGATCGAACTCAGTCGGCCTGGAAGACAAGAAGCCGTGATGAGCACGAGCTCATGTCACCGACAGCACACCGTTCGTATCCAAGGTAGCACATGACCGTAATTGCTGTGTTGGCCTGTCCGAGCATGCGAGGCTTTGTTGATTCCTGCAGCTAGAGCTAAAGAGGCTTCGTTAAAAAGACGTCCGCAACTTGCATCTGACAAGCTCGCCGGGAACATTTCAGGCCACTCCGATGATGAGGGCAGGGTATCAGGACTTTCCACACGTTCTGCCAGGCTTACAGCTTGCTAACTTGACAACATCCTATAGACAGGAGATGTCTCTGATCTTCAAGCTTTTCGATAATCGGGCTGCGCTGCACTAGGTGAACAGGGTAAGCTTTAGTGCCTGAGCGATTGGGGTTGGCGAGCGAGTGCATGAGAGTTCGCTGGTTGCAAAGTTGCCTGCGATGTTGCCTGTGGACCCACCGAAACTCCCAAAGTCCCCTTGCTCTTGCGACACATAGGAAGCGCTATACCCCTGGAGTTCAGTCGCAGTGGATACATGATTTGGGGTGCAGTTGAGGTCAGTCTATGTGGAGCTGGGTTTCCCGAGGGTGATGGATGTAGTTGGTGAAGAATTCGGGCTTGATGTTTGCAGCGACCTAGATGCAAAATGGGATTCTGTATGCGAGCACTGCCCGATGCAAAAGGGATTTATATAGGGCTCAGGACTTGCGCAACAGAACAAGAATAAAGTCGTCAGTCGTGTCGAAACCACCCGTGATCATGGGGCAATCAGTCAGGCCCTCTCTGAGATGGCCTCCCGCCTTCTTCCCATCCGTGGGCTTGCTGCGGATGCCGAATCGGGTGACTTCAGTGATGTGTGGGTGCCAAGAGCATGCGGACGCTTATATAGAGCTCAGGACACAAGATCTTGGATCTGTGCTCAGACAGTTCCTGCGTCTTTCAAATCACGTAGCATCAAGCCCGAGTCTCGTTCGTCGAGTTGTGTAGGCTGCTCGATCGGATTTAGGGTGGGGCCTTTACATCCTGAGTGCTGAAAATTAAAATTTAACTAAACCGTCGATACAGCTCGTGCGTAGCTTGGCTCGCCGAGTGAGCCGTCCTCCAGGTCATGAAGTTCTGCGCAGGTGGCAGCCACAGCCCCACCTCAGGCAGTCCTGCCATTGCCTGCCATGTGGGAAGGTGGGGGCATGGGCTGAAGAGTGCCACGAGGATGGGAAAAAGATGCAGAGACTTTAGAACATGCGCACGCCGTCGCTTCGTGAATTATATACCCCCAAGATCGCCAAGATCCTTCAAACTCCGCAAGCCGCCTCGCGGCACTTCGAGGCAGCCGGCCTCGCCCAAATCTCGCCAGCGCTGTGGGGGAGGCCACCCCCAGGGCCAGGGGTGCAGGGTCTTCGGTGTAGTCGACATCTGCTGAGCATGCGTCACCTCGCAGCCGGCTTCTTCGCCGGCATACAAGCTGAAGCTGAGGCACATCTTTCGCATGCTCACATCTGCCTGCTACTCTCCGTAATAGATATTACACATCAGGATTTATTACACAGCCATGGGCCATCACAGAGCACCCAAAGACATCATGAGGTTCCAGAGTTGGACGCCCTCAAGGGCGTGCTGCAGCGCTTCCTCGCACAAGAGCAGGCGTGGAGGAGGAGGAGGAGGAGGAGGAGGAGGAGGAGGTTGGCTTTCAGGAATCTTAGATTGGAAGCTTCGGAGAACGGGGTGAGAGATCCCAGGCCCTGACATTCAGGACCTGTAGAGCTTTCATGCAGCCGTTACATGCACCACGGTGCAATCGTGCCTACCGCAAAGCCAATGAGAACAGAACCGTATTGGTCGTGGCAGGTCTCCTCGTGCCTCTGATGTGTATGTACCGTGGAACTGCTGCTGCTGGCTACAGTCCTCCCTCTCATTGCTTGTCATCGCTTTCTCCTTTCCCAGACCGTTTTTCTATCGGGGAGTATTGGTATAGTCATTCGATGAGGATTTCTGACACTAAGTTGCTTGGCCACGTGTTGGATGGTGCATTGTTTCTAGGCTGTTGCTTTGAGATGATCAGCTTCGGCTTAGGATTCCGTTTTAGGTATCGTACCACTTTCTGATTTTACAGACTGGGGTTCAGGGTGACCCGGCTTCCTGGGCTTTAGCAGTAACTCAAGCGGAACAAGCCCTCCCAATAGCACAATGGAAGGGTGTTACTCAGAATACCCCCATCAAGTCTTGTATGGGGATCTTATAATGGAGACTTCAAGGCCCATCTCGTCCGCCGCGTCGCTGAGCTGGAGGAGGTCGCAGGAATATATTCCGCTGTTCTCGTTTCGAGGGCTTTCTTGAGATCATTCGCAAAAATGCCACCCCCTCAGGAAATACGAAAGAAGTTGTGTGGTGCTGGCGTGAGTGTGCGAGGGCAGGTGCAGGTGTCCCCAGAGACTCCAATATCCCTTAATTAAGGAATATGCCTTAAATCATATTAAGGATCCTACTATAATTTAAGGAATATTCCTTAGTTAAGGGATATTGGAGTCTCTGTGTCTTTGTGCAAGTGGAAAGCTGATGCTGCTCGGGCGGCGAGAAAGGAGCTGAAGCCGAAAAGTTTTTCGAAGGGTGACGTTGAAGCCCCTTTTTCCCCTCTCGTCCCTATGATTTGCGTAGTTTGTGCGAGATACTATATAGGGATCTTGTTGTTTAGGGTCTGCTGGTTTTATCAGACTTTCAGGGACCCCAATTAATTTAAGGTGAAATCTAGAGAATAGGACCCTTATTGCAGGACCTCCGGCTCGGACCACGAGGTTTAAGAATCCTGCCACAGAAGGGCTGCCCCATACCCCTCAAACCACTAAGCGCCCCTGAATGAGCCCTAAACCCATACAGCCCTTTAGAATCCTTTGAATCGAAGCTCTTAACTTTGAATGCCTGGAGCTCTAAACCCTTTCAGATCCTGTATCCCTAAGCCCTGAACACTATGAGCCTAAGCGAAGCTCCACCGTAGTGCCTTCAATTCAAGCATGCCAGGGGATGCTCGAGGTGATGCGGGGGACGGCTCGAGCCCCGAGTGATGCAACATATGTACGTTGCCCTTCGCTTTGCATTTTGGACGGGTGTTGGTCCTTTCGTCTGTAATCAACCTACTTTTAACTATTTTAACTGTCACCACCTTAAGAGTTACAAGTAAATCGGGTTACGGTGGGTGGCCCTTGGAGAATTCTGGTGAACTGACATGCTCAGAAACATAGTTTCATGGCTTCGTCGGCGAAGCTAAGAGGTTTTCGTTGAACAGTTGCGCCAGAGGCACCATCTAGCTCAGACATCTAAACTCCAAGACTCTAAGCGGACTTTCATGCTGCATGGTTCAACTTTGTGCAGGCGTCAACGCATGGCTGAAAAGGGTTGATTCTTATCACTTCGTGCAGCCCGCGCAACTGCTGGCACTACTCCAGTTTATTAGGGCGATTTTACTTAGAAGTTACGGATTGAAGTTTTGTGCAAGGTGGCTCAGTGCACATGTGCCCAGGTTGAACCTCCAGTGCCTGTCGCCAACCTGCCCTCGCCTGGCCCTCTGTCCCGTGGTTTGCTCTTGCAGTGTTGCACTTTCGGCCAAACCCTCATAACGTGACCCCATCGCCTGGATTCATCCAAGCTGTGAGTAAGGGCACCTCGTGCACACCGTAGATCAAGACCCCCAGCTGCTTGAGATGATGGGTCTTCTCTCAACCCGGAGCATGGTAAGCACCCTGAGCCTCTGAGCCCTGCGAACGATAAAGTCCGGACCTCCCGTGCTGTCCCCGTCCCGTCGCTGTTCGATCGCCATTCGAGTTGTTTATGGCCCAGGGAAGCCTGTGGCCTATGGGTGTTCATTGGCATACATATCCGCACTAGAGGTGTGCAGCCAATACTGCAACAGTGGATGGTCTCGCTACGGTACCAACACAAGCTCGTAAGAACTACCTCCGCAGTTGCCGTCGACTGTCTGGAAGCAGACTGACGTGTTGAGTTCTGAATCTTGGGTTCGGGATGTAAGGGCTCGGAGGTTTAGGAGTCGTATCTCACGGACACGAGCTGGTCTGGAGTTCCAAGAAATGTCTTACGAGGCTTGCCTCTGGGCCCGCCGCCCGTGCTGCAGAGGCCTTCGGAAAAGTCAGGACTCCTTGGACATGAGATCACTTCCGCCGGAGTGTTTGCAGCATCAGGATGGCTGGAAGACGAAAGGTGCTTATGTAGACTGCATAGTTTGGCTTGTTCATCAGTCCCACGTGTTCGTATAGATGCGGAAGGCAGAGTTGAGCGTGTCGATCCCCCTCGAGCGACCTGTGCACGGGCCCCAGCACAAGCTGGACGCCGCTTTGGGATTCGCTTTTGCCCACAAGAGGGCAGTTCCCGTGGCGCGAAGGGTCTTGGCTCCGGAGCTTCGACATGAATCACAAAACTGAAGTCGATATCACCGAGGTTCCTGGCACCCGATGCCGTCCGCTTTGAGGCGCTGTGTCCAGCTCCGTGTGGGAAAACGTTGGGAGAGTTGGGGTCGCCTTCCTTCGTTGCTTGTGGGTTCAGGGTTGAAGTATGTTTAAAGGTTCAGGGCCCCTCAAGCCCTGAAGATCGAGCACCTTGCCCCAGAAGGTTTGATCTATGGATGCCAGGGCTTTATGGCAAAAGGGTCCTCTTTTGGAGGGGAATAATGAATGGAAGGTTTATGGTTGGTGAACTGGGCTGCGATATCCGATTATACGGAGATGTGGGCTTTATGGGTGTTTTGGGTGGGTCGCTGGTGAAAACAGTGACGTACATTCTTAGGAATAGGATTGTTAGGTTGATATTTTGGGCCAGTCTGGCTGCGGGTATCGATAGACTTGGTGGCAAGGCATCTGGTAGGTGGGTTGGTGGAAGAATCAGAGCTAGGGACTGCAAGGTTGGCCACATCTCGGAAGCCAGTGGCCTCAAGCACCATCAGCCCGGAGCCTAGTCGCCAATTCTGAACCCGCCGATCCGAAGTCAGAAACCTGTACGCCACCCCCCATGGTTTGGGATCAAAGACCCTGTGGCCCATAGGGCCTCGGGGTCAGGTTTTTATCTGGCTTGGGTTGAGGAGAAAAGGGCTTTCGAGGCTCCCGAAGCCTAGAGCCGACCTCCCCTCTGGCACACCTCTCTGCTGAAAGAGAGAGGTCTTGGGTGTTGAATGTTTTGGGGGTTTGCCCGGCCAGCTTTCGTTTGCAAGCTCTCATGGAAGGCCCTTACTGTTCATGTGCACAGTTTCGGTATTCCGTCCAAGGACGAACCGTGTATTCGTGGCATTTCGTGGCGAACGAACAGGAATCAGCTGCACTTTGGATTGTGGCCTCTAGTGGCGAAACACTAACCAATGCCTTCGCATGCATGCAGTGAACATGTCCTGAGGCATGTGACGATTAGTCGGGGCCTTGAGTACCGGTGACGAGCGAACAGAGTTGCAAAGCCTGAGCCAATCTCAAAGCTAATCACCCTGAACCCTAAATCCAGGCGAAGCAATCGAAAAAACACTCCAGGTGTTTATGGTAAGTGCATTCATCCTGGATTGCGCGATTTCTCGGATCTGTTGATTCTGATGCCTGACAGGATCAGTTTAGGTCCTGACGCTCTTTGCACAGTTTGGGCTGGCACTCTGCAATACTGCGCCCTTAAGCCCACAGTTTCACCCAAAATCCTACAGGATACGTGCGACACGCTAGACTTCTCCCGAGAGCCTACATCTCCGGGCCGCACAGAAAGACTCCTCTAGACTTCCACCGAAGGCCCGGCGCATTCCGTGGCTATGAGTCATCCGGCCCAGCTGGAACTGGAACGAAAGTGCAACTTTTTGCAGGTCTGGCACGGAATGCCAAGGTTTCGGGTTTCGGACGGTTTCGGGCTTGTTGCTCTCCCACACTGACCGTGAAGTCAGTGGCGCCGTCAAGTTGATTGCTGCAGTTGACTTACACCTTTTGCTGGCAGCAATCTCGATATCAGCGCGGGACGGGGGGCATCATATTCTACTATACTACACTACACTACACTACACTACACTATACTACACTATACTATACTATACTATGGTACAGCATACTTTTCTAAATTTTCCTAGACTATAGTACATTTTCGTATAAACTCGCCGTAGCACGAAAGCCGAGGTCAACCGACCTCGCCTGGCAGCACTCGCCATGGCGTGGGGGTCCTGTCGCTGCATACTAGACTAGGGCATACTGTAGTACAGTATATTATACTATATAGTATAGTATAGTATATTATACTATATAGTATAGTATAGTATAGTATAGTATAGTATAGTATAGTATAGTATAGTATAGTATAGTATAGTATAGTATAGTATAGTATAGTATAGTATAGTATAGTATAGTATATATAGTATAGTATAGT